GTGTGCGGGGGGCTATGAGCTCTTCCTTGTATAGAGTGCACTGCAGGGGAGACAAGAAACAAGTCTAGGCCAGAGATGGGGCCTCTGGGGAAGCCATGAGGATGGCAAATTTTATCTCAATAAAACAGGAAAATATCCGTCCCACCTTTGTTGCTGATGAATAGAAGTAAAACTTAATGTGTCTTCAGCAACATGGGTAATCGCTCTTGTGAATTCTAATCAATCTTTTTCCAAGTAGACAATCATATCAACTAGAAACAATATTTTTCTTCTTTTTCCCAAATCTTTTAGCTTCTCTCGTTTTGTTTCCCATGTATCTTGCCTTGCTTAGTGTGTGAGACCCCAGGACGCTATACAGACATGGGTGTGGCAGGCTCCCTTGCTCATCATCTTAAATAATGTGCTTTCAGCCTCACCACAGGGTCAGGTTAACCTCCCTTCCACACTAGGGTGCTTTGCTCTTTTCTGCACAAGCTAGGGAGCCCTCAAATTCTGTACATCCCAGATGGATAGGGACCTGGCAGAGCATAATCACCACAGGTGTGCACTCACCAACACCTGGCCTCTCCCGGCTCAGCCCTGCCAGCCCACAGGCCCCTTTCCTGGGAGAGACCCAGGAGGAAGCCACTCCTGAAGACTCCTGGCCACTCCTGGCTGGTGCTCAGCCCTCAGTACAAGAGAGCCAGCTCCTCTCACTCACCTGAACCACTGCTGCCCAGACCCTTGCTCTCCTTGGCCCCATGCCCGTCCAGGACCCAGGGCTCTTCTCCTCGCTCCAGCTGGGAGATCACGTTGGGCTTGGTCCCTGGAAGTCCTGCTCATGGGGAGGGAAGGCCTTTTGTTTAGAGCGCGCCCACCCAACCTAAGGAGTCTGTGGGTGTGAGACAGAGGACCAAACTCCCTTTGGAGCTGAGCACCCATAAGGAGACCGCAAGGTCACTACCATATAGCCCCACCCCCAGGGAGCCCACAGACAGGCTGGCCTGCTAGGGGCCTTACCCAGCGAAACCACGTTCCCGTAGGTCTCCATCATCACATGTCGGTAGAGGCCCCTCTGAGCAGGGCCCAGCTGGTCCCACTCCTCCTGGGAGAGGAGCACAGCCACATCCTCAAAGGTCACCTTGACCTGGAAAGACGGGCTGCTGCAGGTCAGGCTGTCTCCACATCCAAGACAGAGCAGGTGCAAGCAACATGGGGTGAGGTATACCCCGAAATGGGGAAAGCCTGATGATACCTGGGAGTTGATGGGGTAACGGGGGGGCCACAGACTTCAGGGGATGTGATGCCCAGGCTGCCACTGGGCACGGGAGGAAATGCAGCTACACAGGCCTTGGGCAGCTTACCTGGGGTCTTGCCGGTGGTGGCAGGAGCCTGGCTGCCGCCATCGCCGGTCCCCTGTTGTCTCTGAGGAAGATGGAACTCAGAGAAGCCTGTGAGGATGAGGAAGAGGAGGGAGCACATGAAGAGCCTGGTCTTGTGGCGTAGACCCTGACTTCCCAGGGGAGCCCTGCCCTCTGCGAGCTCCAACCCTACTGCTCCGGAGCCACAGAAACACACCATTCCTAAGCGTGGACCCAGGAGGTCACAACTCTGGGATGCCTGGGGACCTTTGTATACTCGAGGGCTCTGGGCCATCCGCCCTGCTCACCTGGCCTGGCCCAGCCCACAGTCTGCCCACAAGGGCCCATGCAAGAACACTCACACAGGTGCCAGGTAACCATCAGGTCTGGTGGGGGTGCCAGGTCAGGCTTCCCCAGAGACAACCCCTCAAAGAGGAGAGAGTCTGGGGACGGCTCTGCTGCAGGCGCACTCTCCTGTGGGGACCCCACCCCATGTCCTGCACGCTTGGCCTGACCATGACCCTCCATGGCTACTCTGACATCTCAGCTACGCCTGGTTGTGCCTGGCTGCCCCAGTGCCTGTGGGGGGCTGGGTTGTGGTAGAGTGAGAGTTAGTGCCCCAGGGATTTGATCTAAGCATCTGGCAGATAGGCCTGGGGGCAGGTGGATTCTGGACAAGTTAAGCTGAGGTGTCTGTCCCACCAAACTGCTGGAAAAAAGGGACCAGGAGCTGTTCTGACAGGAGGAGAGTTCCCATCTTCTGGAATGCAGAGGGGGATCTGCAATGGGGCAAAAAGCCCAAGAGGCAGATCACCTCCGAGAATTTCACAGTAAAGAACAGTCACCCTTCTGGAGAATGCTCCATGGGTCAGCCAGAAGGGATGCCTTTACATTGCTTTCTCTGCAGAACACCTGGTATGTGGACATTTGTCCAGAAGGTACACACTGAACTCACTGCAGCTGCTCCTCTGTTCACCAAAAATGCCTATTTCCCCCAAACTTGTGTGTGCGTACAATACAACTCTAATTAGAATTCCAATGGGAGTATTTTGTAGGCTGAAGAAAAACATGGATAGGATTTAAAGAAGGAACTGCAGAGATGCAAAGAGCTTAGAATTTAACTTTTATTATTATTATTTTGCTTTGTAAGCTAAGTTTTAGGAACACCCTCGTTGGAGTTCCGGATGGGTCTTTAGTTAAGGGAAAAAAGTGAGTTATTAGTGAAGCACTGAGATGGAGAGCAGGATACTCCACAAGCAGAGCAGTCATTTCTGATGGTCTTGATGCCTGTCTTTCCAAAGACACCACCTACAGTGACAAGCTGTGACAGAGTCCCTGGGCTGGGCAGCTGTACGGCTCCTAGAGTTCCCTCCCTTCACCCACAGCCCCCTCACCCCAGGTTTCCCTGCTGGAATGCCCTGCCCCCTCATGTCCACTGAGCCCGCCCTTCGGAGTATAAAACCACCTTAAGGTGCAGGGCTCAGCCAGGTGTGAGCACCAAGTACAACCAGCAACCTTCTGGAGTAAGTGACCACAAATAGGCATCCAAGCTGCCAGCTTCCTTACACCAGCAACCCCTAATCAGAAAACACAAGGAAAATGTTCTAGTCACAAATGGCAAAGAAACACATCGAGCATACACTTAGAAATGTGATGTCAATCCTGCCCACCACAGCCACAAAGCCCGGGCCAGAGCCAGGGTGGCCTGGATGGGAAGAGGGCTCAGGGACCCAGCAGCAGGGCCCCATCTATGGTCCAAATCGCTGTAACGGAGATGACTCAGTAAATGTCACCAGGTCAAAGGGTTCAGTGCCTTAGGAAAAACAAAACCACCTTTACATAAAGCTCAACAAATCTCCCAGAAAGTAAGTAGAACAAAGGCAAACAAACAAACAAACAAAAAGGACAAAAAAATTAGATCATCTTATATCTTATACAGAAAGTCAAATGAATCCATTTAGTTAATTAATAAATAGGAATTAAAATTTAAAATGATAAATAACTTGAATAAAAATACGGGTAAATTTTCATTAATTTCAGTAAGAAGGGCTTTTCTAAGCAATACAGCCAAAGCACAAAGGCTGGGGGAAAGACCTCCTTCATGAATTCAGATATTTATGTACATCAAGGACACCACAAAATGCAGAAATGGATCCAAAGGCACGTAAGAATGTAACACACAACAGCGGCAGTTTGCCAAATCAACGAGAAGATGAATTACTCAGTAAGTAAACTTAGAAATAACATGATTTAGAGGAAAGAAAGAAAGCTGGCTTCCCAGTTCACTCCACACCAAACCAAATTCCAGACGGATCCAGAGAAAAACAAGAATTTATTGTAAAAATTTTGGAGTGGGAAAAGCCCTTAAAACACAAACCCTTAAGGGTCAATATTTGATCATGAAATAGCTGAAGTTTTCTACCTCAAGAAACCCCAAACCAGAACCAAACCATCATTTGAGAAGAATGTTTTCAACGTGTACGGGAACTAGGAACTGGCAGATCACAAAGGAAACACCGAGGCTGAAACACATCGAAGTGCCGACCTCGCCGACGCTCCGAACGCAAACTAACAGGCTGGCGAGACCGGGGCTTCGGGCGTGAGGCCCCAGCTTCGGCCGCGTCCACCTCCCAGTCACCCCGCGCGGGGCCAGGCTTCGCAGCCCGTCGGACGCGCGGCCGACAAGGCCGTTCGCAGCAGAGAAACCCAACAAACGCCCCGAACCTCCTTTTAGGTTGGAAACAAAAACGAGCACGTAGATCCGGAAACAACACAAAGCAAAGCAGCCAGGGCCTCCTCCGCGCGCACGGCCGCTCGTCGCGGAGGGTGACTTTCACTTTTTATATTTTCTGACATGCTTGTATTTTTTAGAAAAGTATTACATATTGTCGACTACAATATTAAAAAGCAAATGAAAACGAGCAAAACATTTGCAAACTGGGAGGAGAGGTTGGCCTCATTCATTAAAAAGGGCTCTTACAAAGTCACAGGGAGAAGACAGCGTCGGTAGGAAACGCGGGGAGGGTGTGGGATCCAGAGACGCACTTCTGCTCACCGGCCCCCAAGGCGGCTTCCGGGGGACGCTGGGGGCGCCCCCAACCCCCGAGGTTGACAACCATCCCCCGGCATCCGCGCTCGCCCTCCCAGCCCAGACCTTGCGGAGACCTCCCGCACCCCTCCAACCCGCCAGGGCTGGCGCCCGCAGGCGGCGGACAGGGCGAGGGAGAGGTTGGGGGGCGGGGATGAGGCTCTGGGGGCCGGGAAAGGGGCTACTGCGCTTCCTAGCGGAAGGATACCGGCGAGGAAGACGGGAAGAGTGCGTGCTGGAGGGGAAGGACCAGATCGGGGGGAGGCCGCGTCGGCGCCCGCGTCAGTGAGGGGAGAGGGTCGTGGCCCGCAGGCGCTAACCGGCCCTGACTCACCGGCCCTGACTCACCGTCCGCACTGCAGCCTCACGCGCGAAGGGGCGGCCGGCAGCAGCGCACTCGGACAAAGGGGACGCACCGCCTAGTCTGCGCAGCCACCAATCCCTGGGGACCCCGCCTCCTCAGTCCCCGCCCACTCACCTGGACCACCAATCCTAGAGCGCAACATCTCCCTGGGCGGCTATCGTCCCCGCCTCCCCCTCCGGCGCCTTCGCCTAACGGACCGCAGAGCTGCGAGCTCTGGAACCAAGGAAAACCGAGGCCTCCGCGCCGCCTAGAGAGGCCACACCGCGCTCAAGCCTCTCACTGGCCGCACTTCCGGCGGTTTATAAGAGCTTCCTGCGCCCCCTCCTCCGCCCCCCACCACACCACCGGGCGCCAAGCTTGAGGGTGGCGGAGCCCTCATCTCGTAGAACTTCTGGCCTTCGCGCTGGCGGGTCCCTCCTCCGTTGGTACAGGTCATCACTTCCTCCGTGGGACAGCTTTTGGTTGCTGCCCCGACACCGGCGAGGGCCTGACGGTGGTCGTCATGGGTGACAGTGACCGCCTCGTAGTTACCCTCGCTGGTGTTTTTTGCGGGGCGGTGGGCGCACCGAGACGCAGACGCGCCCTCCGGAGCGGCGGCCCGAGGGGGCCTGCCCAGGCTGCTGGGAGGAGCCGTGGGCCTGAGATCCTTCACCTGGCACGCGTGTCGTGGGGCTCAGAGCGCTCAGGAGGAACCACGGAGACAGGTTGGTGCTGGAGGGCTTCGGTCCGCCTGAGGACGAGGCAGGAGGTCAGTGGGATGACGCGCGCGGTTCTGCAGGGAGGCAGCCAGGGACGCCGAGCCGGTCCTGTACCAGCGTGAGCGGCAGCTGTCTCCGGGGAACTTCGTATATCCTACGCCCCAGTGGAGCAGGGTCCCCGCGGCCAAGGGACTGAAGCTTGCGGACAAGGAGGGCTTTGCCAGTTGAGTGTTCAAGTAGACAAGGAGGCCATTAGTCTTGAGTGGTTCTTATGCTTTGGAACCTACGTAAGCAAACTCCAGCGAAGCTTCCCAGATGAGACAGCTGCTTGAACTGTAGCCAGTCAACAATTTCCGTGCTTTGCTTCTGCATCTTCTCTATGAAAACCTATTCCCAGCTCCCCTCCGCAGAGCGCTCGGTTGGGCGCTGCCTGGTTCCAACATACGTTTGCTCAAGTAAACGCTTCTAAATTTTAATGGAAGAGTTTAAAATGTACCTCAGTTTGTCTTTCACTACAGAGAGTGAGCTCTGTCCCAGCAACCTTGGTCCCAACAGAGAACTGATGCTTCTGGGACCCAGCACACCTTGCTCTCTCCTCCGTAAGTTTTTATTTTGAAAATGTTCATCTATTCATAAAGGTTGAAAGAACAATACTAGACACTCCCATTGGACGCTTCCCTTAGTCCGAACAACTAACATTTCCTTAGTTTTTCTAGCAATTCAACAACTAGCATTTCCCCAGCACATCTGTCTGGGCCGAGCTCTGCCACTTCGCTGTCTCTGCTCCAACAGCACAGTGTTGACTGAGAGCCTGGATGCGCTGGGCTGTTCTCAGAGCCGGCCCCATCAGTGAACAAGACAGGCAGAGTTCCCAGGATCCCTCTGCTCCTGGACCCCACGGGTGAGTGGGAAGGCAGGCAGCACACGGAATGTGTGAATCGCAATGTATGTCCAGAGGTGCTAAGTGCTATGAAAGGTCTGAGAGGCACCACTGCCTCTCAGACATGCGCCTTGGCTCATTGGGTGGCATGAAACAGCAACGGGCCACACACACCTTCCTCTGGATCCTTCAGCTTCACTGGTTCCTGGCTGTGTTTTGCTCAAAGACAGAAAGCCTTCGCTTCTTCAGGACACCTACACCATCAAGGAAAACACAATTTTCAGTCCATCCTGGATTCCAGCTTATGACCACAGGCCCCAACTTGTCTCCCTGCCCTTCCCAGTCTCCTGTCCTGACCCAGCATCAGGAATTGCTCAGCTATGTCCCATGATTCTGTGAGATGCAATCTCTGTACCGTCACATGGTTCTGTCTCCGAGTGGTTCTGCATCTCTGATTAAACCCCGAAACAGTTAGCTTATAGAAAACATGTGCACGTGTGCACAATTGCTCTATTTGTTAAAGCAAGTGGAGGATTAAACATTTAAATGTCACTCTTTAAATTATACCTACTTTTTTGTTTCCTTTATTATTAACACTTTTGAGTGCATGATGAATTCAAGGCCTGCTACCAACTCTACTTGATCCAATTAACTGCCATTATGATTAGTAGTTACTGTACTTTTTTTTAAAAAGTCCACACTGCTCCAGGCAGTCAGAGGGAGCCCCTGACCTTGTCTGACATTCTTCAACCTGCTGTGGTTTTTGACCACAGGACCCCTGACTGTGCTCAATGTAAAAGGATCAGAGACCAGAGCCTGCACTTGTGGGTGTGCACCTGAATTTTTTGGTCCTTTTCCTATGTTGTTAGAATGCCAAGCTGGAAATTGTCCCTTTGAGGTTGTGTTTACATTGACTTTTGACTAATTCCCAGTTTGTCTTTGCCTTTGTACTTGGTTATTTTTCGTCATGCAAAACTTTATTTCTATGTAGTCACACTTATCAGTGTTTTCCCTTATTGTTTCTTGATTTTGAGCCATACTAAAATTTCCCTAACTTCTAGTTCTAGAGGAGTTTCATACATGTTTTCATCTAGTACTTGTTTGGTTTTGTTTCTTTACATATAGATCTCTTTTCCAATTTATTCTGCTATATGATATGAAGAATGAGTTTGGTAACTAAATGGCTACTGGTTATCCCAGTACTACATATTATGTTTACCCCTTGCCCATGGATTTGAGACACCACTTTTCTCTTTTTCTTTTTCTTTGTTAAATTTACTGATTTTACAGAGCGGGGAGGATAGGTGGGAAGAGAGACAAAGAAAGAAACATCAATTTGTTCCACTTATTTATACACTCATTGATTGATTCTTGTATGTGCCCTGCCTGGGGATTGAACCCACGAACTTAGTGTATCAGGATGATGCTCTAACCAAGTGAGCTAGCTGGCCAGAGTAAGATGCCATCTTTCTCATATGTCCATGTGGAGTGGTCTCTCGAGTTGATATTCTGACATTTGGAAAGGCTCAGAGCCAGCCCAATGAGCACAGAAGACCCTGCATGCAGAATAAGCCCCATGGGCGCCTGGGACCCAGGCAGCACTGCCCCCCATGTCCAGGAGCCAGTGGTGATGGTCTGGCTATTGCTTGCAAAGACTTAGGTGAGTGGCCTGGCTGAGACTATGCTGCTGCCGAGGCTGCATGGAGTGGCCTACACTATCTTCAGCCATCAGAGTCCTAGGGGTTCTCCAGATCCACAAAGACTTACAGATTGCTACAGATCCAGCCCTGCTCTCCACATACCACACTCCAGGGTTTCCCTGCTTTGCCTGTGTAAAGGGAGCCAGTAGGTTTTTGGGGAGACTATTTCCCCACATCATTCTGACTCCAGGACTCTACCAAGAACATGAAGATCCTGGCATAGTTGGTACCAGGCCAGCTGCTAGCTGTTAGGGCTGCTTTGTAGTTGTCCTCAAAGGAATTGGGTTTGTTGGTTGGAGATAGGAAACCTGTCTAGAAGTGGGAACAAGGAGCAAGAGGAACACCCTCACTCCCAGTGGTACAAGGGGAAGGGAGGCTTCAGGGGGACTATGTGGTCAGTAGGCAACCAGGTGTTAGAACAAGGATTTGAAGGGGACTTGGCTGGTGTGGCTCAGTGGACTGAGTGCCAACCTGCGAGCCAAAGGATTGCTGGTTCGACTCCCAGTCAGGGCACATCTGGGTTGTGGGCCAGGTCCCCAGTAGGGGGCGTGCAAGAGGCAACCACACATTGATGTTTTTCTCCCCCTCTCTAAAAATAAATATGCAAAATCTTTATTTTAAAAAAGAGAGAGAGCGCGCCGGCCTGTGAACCAAAGGGTCACTGGTTTGATTCCCAGTCAGGGCACATGCCTGGGTTGCAGGCCAGGTCAGGCCCCCAGTAGGGGGCGTGTGAGAGGCAACTACACATTGATGTTTCTCTCCTTCCCTTCCCCTCTATCTAAAAATAAATTAAAAATTAAAAAAAAAAAAGTTGGAGGGAATTTTCAGAGAAGTCACAACACAGAGGGATTTATCTTAGCCCTTTCCAAGAATACTGTCGTGAGATAGGAGCAGGGCCCAGGCAGGTGGGCAGGGGCCCGCACACCACAGGAGGGGACGGGCTCTCTAAGAGATCTGGGCACCAGTGTGCAGCTCCCACTCCCCAATGGGCAAGGCTATTGTTTTTCTCCCTCTGTCTTTTTTCCCACTTTCCTTTCTCGTCTCCCCAAATGTCTCTGTGCTTCCCTGCCATATAGACTAGTGATTTAAATAATTAAGGCTCTTTTGATAAAAATAAGCAATCTACCAAAATTAGAAACAAAGGGCCTCTCTACTGCCTTGGAGTGGCCCCTGCCGTGCAGATGGGCTCCAGCCACCAGGCCTTGCGTCAGGGACAGGGATGTCTCAGGCTTTCGGTCACACGGGATCCATTGTTCCTGCGAAACACATTTCCAAGGACATCATGAAAGCAGTAGAAAACAGGTTGTGGTTGACAGACATTTGCTCTTCTAGACCATTTTCCTTTGGAAGCGAAATGTCCTGAAGTTAAACTCCCTCAGGCTGCAGACGGTGTGAAGCAGGCCAGCTCTGCCCGGATGCCTGGCTGGGCCCGGGGCCGGAGAAGCCCAAGGAGCGTGCCTTTCTGTGGACCACTCGCTCCGGCCTCCCGTAGCTGCTGTGCCCAGCACCTGTGCCTCGGCCCCAGGGACCTCCCCGCAGTGTGGAGGCTGGGCCGCCAGAGGCCAGTGGGAGTTGAGAAGGGAGTGACAGGTGCACGCACTTGCCCCACAGTCTCTTCCCCACACAGCGTGTGATCTTGTTAAAATGTCAGATCAAACCCTTGTGACCACAGGCCCTTCGTGGTGGCTCCCCAGTTCTTACCTCATCTGTTCTCCCTTTGCTCACTCAGGCCCAGCCGCACTGACCTGGCTCTCTGATGACCCTGGAAAGTCTAGGGGCACTCCCAGCCAGGGCCTGTCCCCCGCCCCATCCTGCTGTCCTCCTCTCACTCGCTTCACGTCCTTGCTCGGAGGACATCTCAGTGCAGCTACTCCGACTGCCCCCACCTACAGCTGGAGCCCTCGCAACACCCCGCCCCCACTCCCTGCTTCGCGTCGTTTCCTAGCCACGGGACCAGTGTGTCCTCTCCCTGCACGCAGGCATCTCCGCCTCGTCTCCTGCTGTCCCCAGGGAGGGCCAGCAAGGACTCACAGACAGAAGCGGTGACCGAGTCCAGGCACAAGGAGAAACGTGAAAGCAGGGGGAGCACGAGGGCTGGTAGACGAGCGAGCGAGCCGTTTGCAGGGCAGGCTGCCACCCAGGCTGCGGGTGTGGCGTTCTCTCCTGTAGGTGCGCCCTCGGGAACAGAGCTCGTGGCGGGGGGGGTGAAGCAGCCTGACTGTGGCTATGAGAAGAGGACAGGCAGCCTGCTGTGGCGCCAGCCCATGGGACGGGCCTTTGCCAGGCAACGCTTCCTCACTTTTTCACTCTTCCGGCTCCCCTCAGCCTGCCAGTGAAAACACAGAAGCCAAACCCTGACCTTCCCACCGTAACTACACACCTGACTACACCTGTCCATCTCCTCCTGGACAGTGCAGGAGGGGCCTATCCACCCACCCCGCTATGACACCCCAGGTGAGACCTGCTGGCTGCTGACCGGGGGCTCCTGGTGGCAGAAGTGGTGCTGGTGCACTGAGCTGACCCTGCCAGGGAGCCTGGGCACTGACCCTGACAACAGAGTTCCCCAGGGAGCCTGGGAAACTGAGGCGGGCTAGTTCCCACCTTCTGGGGGCACCTAGCAGGTGCTCCATAAACGTTGGGTGAGGAATGGACCTGGAACCCGCCCTACACACACACACCTGGGAGCTTGTAGGGAGAACCAGGGATGAGGGGAACACAGAGAGAGCTGTCCTCTGTGGGGCCAACAGCCAGGACCCTAAGGCAGGGAAGTGGAGGCTGGGAAACAGCCCCCTGCCATTGTGCAGCACCCCAAGCGGGGACCCGAGTCTCGCGGGCTGTGAGGAGGAGGAGGGATGGCGTCAGACTGCCGCGGGCACGCAGGCAAGGGGCCGGCGCTGAGGAGTGCGCGCCACACGGGGAGGGTGGCGGCAGTCAGACCCGACTCCACCTGGTTCCACGTGCACAGGACACGAGTCACCGAGCAGAAGTGCTGTTGTCTGGAAGCAAACGTCAGTTTACTCTTTTGGTTATGTTTGATTACAGCAGTAAACGCCATTCATAAATATGCAGTCTCTGCCTCCCCTCCTCACAAACATGGCAGTCTCACAACAAAACGGAAAAACCAGAGAGAAACAAGGTCACGTGAGGTGGGTGCACGGGCAGGAGGGAGGGGCTGTGACCCGCCCCCCGCAAGGGGGGTCCCAGGCTGTGTGAACAGCAGGTTGTGGGAGGAGGGCAGGGGGCGAGCCCCACTGAGAAGCGGGGGTCAGAGCGCCGCCTCGCCGGCTCTCACTCCCTGGTGTGGGTCCGCTGGTGCTTGAGCAGCTTCGAGCGCTGGCTGAAGGCCTTCCCGCATGCGGCACAGTCATAGGGCTTCACCCCAGTGTGGACCCTCTGGTGCTGGATGAGGACTGAGCGCTGACTGAAGGACTTCCCACACTCGGTGCACTTGTAGGGCCTCTCCCCTGTGTGGATGATCTGATGCTGAATGAGGTGTGAGCTCTGGCTGAAGCCCTTACCGCACTCGGTGCACGTGTATGGCTTCTCTCCAGTGTGAACTTTCTGGTGGTGGATGAGGTTTGAGCTTCGGTTGAAGGCTTTACCACACTGGTTACACTCGTGGGGTTTCAAGCCATTATGGATTCTCTGATGCTGAATGAGAGTTGAGCTCTGGCTGAAGGTTTTCCCACACTCGGTACATTCGTAGGGCTTCTCTCCAGTGTGAACTCGCTGGTGCAGGATGAGGTTGGAGCTGCGGCCAAACGTCTTCCCACACTCCCGACACTCGTAGGGCTTGTCGCCCGTGTGCACGCCCTGGTGCTGAATGAGGGCTGAGCTGTGGCTGAAGGCCTTCCCGCAGACGCCACACTCGTAGGGCTTCTCTCCCGTGTGGATTATCTGGTGCTTTCTGAGCACTGAGCTGTAACTGAAGGCTTTTCCGCACACGTCACACACGTGAGGCTTCTCTCCAGTGTGAATCCTCCGATGCTGAACCAGGCTTGAACTCTGACTGAAGGCCTTCCCGCAGTCGCTGCATTTATAGGGCTTCTCTCCTGTGTGCACGCGGTGATGCTTAATGAGGTTGGAGACCCGGCTGAAGGGTTTGCCACACTCACTACACGCGTAAGGCCTCTCTCCAGTGTGAACTCGCTGGTGCTTCCTCAAGTGTGAGCTCTGGCTGAATGCCTTCCCACACTCGTGACACTCGAAAGGCTTCTCGCCTGTGTGGGTCCTGCAGTGTTTGATGAGGTTGGAGCTCCGCCTGAAGGCCTTCCCGCAGTCCGTGCACACGTACGGCCTCTCCCCAGAGTGGATCCTCTGGTGCTGGATGAGGTTGGAGCTCCGCCTGAAGGCCTTCCCACACTCACTGCACTCATGGGGCTTCGTGCTCGTGTGAGACTTCTGGTGCTTCTTGAGGCTGGAGTTCTGGCTGAAGGCTTTTCCACAGTCACTGCAAACATAAGGCCTCTCTCCACCGTGGGTGACCTGAGGCCTGAGCAGGTCTGAGTGTGCACGGGAGGCTTTGCCACACTCGCTGCACCAGGAGGGCTCGTGCACAGGAGACCACTGATGATTTTTGAGAACTGAATTCTGGCTGAAGGTTTTTCCACACTCGTTACATATGAATGTGCTTTCAGCTGTGGTGAGCCCCTCATGGCTGGTGACATCTGCGCCGTTTTGGAAGCTTTGGCCACATGTGTAAGGAGGTGGACTCTCTTCCACAGAAGTTCCCAGACATGCCGCTGGGTCTGGGCTCCGACTGGAGCTTCTCTCAAAATCATCACAGCCCAGCTCTCTCTCTCCTAAGGGGCTGCCGAGGAGCGCTGCCACCTGTGCGAAGTCCTCCTCTGGGCAGAGGGACGGCCCCTGTCTCATGTCGTAGGGGACACCCCAGTCTCTTTCTAACGCGTCATCGCAGAGTTCTCTGAGCTCAGGTGCCAGGGAAACATCACTGGTACAGTTTTCTGATATTTCTGCCTGCGAGTCTAAACCCTCAGAAACGTCTTCCTTCTGAAGAAACTCCTTGCCCTCAGCCCTCGTGTTGCGATCTGAAATGACAAACAGAAAGTCCCACTTGGAAGAAACAGGGAAGCGAAGACAGCAAGTCTGGGAGTGTGGGACCCACTGGGGGTACAAGTCCCCATCTCTCATCCCCCAGAGGGGGCCAGGGAAGCTCCGAGGGGACAAGGCAGCACGGCAACGGAAGACTGACCAACCTTTAACCCTCTGCCCCCGCCTCCACACCTCGGGAAGTCGTCTGCCATCTACCTGCTGGGCAGGCCGAAGTCCCAGGCGCCCCCCGACTGCCCTTCCTCTCACCCACGGCATTTCGTTGGCAAGGCCTGTCGACTGCACCTTGTCGTGTGTCCCAAACCCAGGTGCCACCCCACCCCCAGAAGCAAACACGACACGCCCTGTGTGACGTGGGCCAGCGTTCTGCCTGGCTTTCTTTCCCACGGTGCATGCTGTCAGCTTCTTGGGCCATCTGTGTTTGCTCAGTGCCAACTAAGGGCTCTTGGGCCTCGCTGTGGGAGTGACCGAGGGGGGAGGTGGGCCTAGAGAAGCAAAGTGGGCTCCAGCTGGGTGGTGGGGACGTCGGAGCAGTGTCAGGGTCTGTCCTCTTCAACACAGGCCTTCAGAGACCTGCCGAAGCCACCTTTACCTTCTACAGCCTGCACGTCTGCGGTCAGACGAACAACTCTTGCCCTGGGGCAATGCTCAGGCGACTGGGCCCATCTTTCTGAGAGCTCCCTGTCATACCAAATGGCTCTGGCACCTCCCCTTGTCTCCTCACGCCTGGAAGAACAAGGAAACCCCCGTTCCCCTGTGTCTCATTCGCAGTGACACCCGGGCCATGCTGCCGCCGTCTGCTCCTGCCTGCCCTCCCTCCCACCTTCCCCTCCTGCTCTCGGGTGGCCTGTTGACAACACAGCAGTCCATGCTCCCAGTGCCCCCAGCCCCCAACACTGCTCCTGACATCTCCTGAGCAGGGCAGATACGCCACCCTTTGGGTGTGCCCTATGTGGAACACCCCCCACAGAGGGTCCTGTGCAGCCCAGACCATGTCCTGGGACTGGGCGACCCCTTGTCTGGCCACAGTCAGTGATGCCGAGTGGACAGGTAAAGGGTACCTTCCTCTACCTCCCGGCCTCCTTGGGCCCGTCACCCTCCAACCTGGCCAACACCACCTAGAACTGTGAGAATCTGCCATAGCAGCACTGTCTCCCTGCCTGACGTGGTTGCTGCTGTTCTCAACACGGACCTGGCTGGGCCACAGGCTCAGCTTGACTCCCACCTCAGCCATGCACCTGGTTGAAAGTTCACACTTGTCACCCGACTTGTGGTCCAGACACACTATGCAGGGTGGGAACCCTGGCCCCGGGATGTGCAGGGAATGTCCAGGTGCTGCTGGGTCCCAGGACTAACAGGAGGAGGACACAGCAAGGGCCACATGAAGCTGCCTGAATGGCCCAGGGCCCACAGCACCCCCACTAAACTGACCCGGGGTGGGCAGAGCTTTTCTGTAAAGGGTCAGGGAGAACCTGTTTTAGGCTTCATGGCTGTGTGGTCCCTATTGTGTGGTCTGCTTTGTTACAACTGTTAAAACTTTGAAACTGCTCCTTGCTTGCTGGGCATAAGAAACCACTGACTAGCTGGATCTGGCCTGCGGGCCACAGTGTGCTGACCTGATGGAGACAAGGTCACGGTGTGGCTCGGGCGATGGTGGCAGTGGGAATCCGGGTTCGGACACGAGGGCCTGCTGCCCTGAAAGTCTTTGAGGTAGAAAACAGAAGTGAGTCCTGTGGGTAAGGATTGTGCGAGGACCCTTTGGATTTGTTAAATTTGATTCTCTGTAACATAAGAACTGTTGGACAAACCAATTGAAGTTTCACTTTTTTTTTTTTTTTTTTTTTTTAATTTTAGAGAGAGGGGAAGGGAGAGAGAAAGCAAGACAAACATCCACTGGCTGCCCTCCATACACGCCCTGACTGGGAACCTGGCCCACAACCCAGGTATGGAATCAACCAGGAATCAAACCAGCGACCTTTTGGTTTACATGACGACACCCAATCTGCTGAGCCACACTGGCCTGGGCATTACTTTTAAAGGAACTATAAAATTAGAAACCTTTCCCTTAAGGAAACCTTTTTGTAAAAAAACCCCAAACAAGTAAAATGTGGGTTTGAAGCAAAGGAATGCCTTGAAAGCAAATGCATTGGCTCACAGTGCTGTGCGGCCTGCAGGCCCGACGGCCGGAGGAGAGGGCGAGGGCCGAGTCCTCCCAGCAGCCAGCAAGCCCACCAGCGTTCCCCACAAAACCCACTCAAGTTCTTCGTGGTCGTCGCTTCGGGGTCTGTGAAGCACAGCGAAGTCCACATCAGGGCCACAGCCTCCTGGGCACCACACGAGCCTGCGCTGTGCTGGCTGCTGCTGGCAGCACCACCGCGACCCACCAGGGCCTCACCTGCCACCTGACGGTCCCACACGTGGGAGGTGAGGCCCCACCTGTCACCCATCTCCCACAGTGGCTTCCGTCCACATCTTCCTAATTTACGGGGGTGAAGTTCACAGACGTAAGTGTCTGTCTGAACTGAGTGATTCGTTTGGCCCATTCGCAGTGGTGCGCACTCACTGCCTCTGCGCAGTTCCAGAACATCCTCATCACCCCAGAGTGAGGCCCTGGCTGGACTTGACTGCCTCCGCATCTCCCCCACCCCTGGGGCCAGGTCCTGGCAACCGCTGGTCTGCATTCTGCCACTGAGAATTTACGTGTTTCTGATGTCTCAGATGAACGGCACCACGTATGTGACTTTGTGTGGCTGGACTCTTCCCTCAGCCTCATGTTTTGCAGGTCCGTCCACACCGTCACATGTATTGGTGCTTCACCCTGCTTCATGGCTGAGCACTGCAGTGGTCCTCTCTTACCCACTGTCACTTTCTGCAGTTTCACTTACCTGTGGGCAACCGTGGTCTGAAAACATTAAATGGAGAATTCCAGAAGTAAACAAGTCAGGTTTTAAATTGCACACTCAGTAGCGCGATGAAATCCTGCTCCATCCCACCAAGGGTGGTGAATCGTCCCTTTGTCCAGCACACCTGAGTGCACACTCCACCCACCTGGAAGCTACTTAGGGACCATCTCGGCGACCAGATCACTTGCGGCAGTATCGCAGTGCCTGTGTTCAGGTCACCTTTATTTTACTTAGTGACGGCCCCAAAGCGCAGAGAGCAGTGGTGCTGACACTTAAGGTGTGCCAAAGAGAAGCCTCATGGCCTTAAAAAGAAGGAAACTGTATGTATAGAAAAAAAAGTAGTATACAAGGAGGACCCCCAAAACCCCGGAATTACCTTCTGGAGGGCAGGCCCCTTGTAGTGCAGGCTTCCCCCACTAGGTGAGTGTTCTAGGAACCCATCTGCATCAGGGCACCAGCTGGCCTTGTTGTGAGAGGCTGCGTTCAGCTTCAGTGATTTTTTTGGGGGGGGGGTTCTTTCAATGTGTTTGTCCATTTGATGATGGGTGATTGAGGAGCACACCTCTCTACACCATTCTGAGCGTTCAGCAGTTTTTGACCAAAAATGGCATGACCCCCGTGCCCCACCACCCCTATTCACCCGCTCTCACCCTAAATGTTTTTTTGTTTGTTTCCCTAGATGACAAAAGACCTCAAAGTGAAATGTGTTGCCAGTGTGGAAGAGATGAAACAAAAAACTGCAGAAGCACTAAAAGGCCTCAAAATCAATGAATTCAAAAACTTGTGAGTAGCAGAAATAACGTCTCGATGGGGGTATTGCATCAAATGGAGAGGGCTTTGGACGTGACGGAAGTTTACACATGTACAAATAAATACACGAGTTTTTATAAATAAATTCCGGGGTCTTGGGTCCCCCTTACTATACAGGGTCAGTACTACAGTTTCAGGCATCCACTGGGGGGTCTTGGATCATATCCTCCATGGGCAAGGGGGGGCTACCATATTCCACAGCACGAGCATCTGGCCTGCTTGCCCCGCTGGGCGCGTGTGAGCAGTGCTGCTACAAGCACGTCCGTGTCCTTGCGCCGATGCCCGTCTTCGGCTCTGCGGGTCTGTGTCTAGCTGTGGACTTCCTGGGTCGTCTGGTGATGCTCTGTTTAATCTTCTGAGAAACTGCCAGATTATCCCACAGTGGCCGCACCATTTTACACTCCTAACAGCAGTGTGCCAGGGCTCCAACTTCTCCACACAGTGGAAACACTTGTTATTTATTTACTTTTTTATTACACCCATCCCAGTGGGTGTGAAGTGGTCATCTCACTGCAGTTTTGATTTGCATTTCTCAAACGGCTATCGAATCGGAGCATCTTCCCACTTGTTTGTTAGCCACTTCTATCCTTTCTTTGGAGAAATGTTTACTCGGGTACTTTGCTCACTTTTAAACTGGGCTGTTTGTCTTTTGCTGTTGGATCATTAAGAGTTCTTTACAGATTCTGGGTACTAGACCCTCACCAGATGCACAACTTGCAGATTTTCTCCCATTCTTAGGGTGTGTTTTTACTTTCTCGACGTCCTTTAGTGCCCACAACTGTAAAATGCTGATGAAGTTCCGTTTACCTATGTCTTTCTGTTGTTGCTGTTTCTCACGGTTTAGGTGTTGTATCTAAGAACCCAGTGCCAAACCCGACATTATGCAGTTTACCCGTTTTCTTACAAGACTGTTATGATTTTATTTCTTTTTTCCCCTTTTTTTCTCCCTCCCCTCCATGACTTTAGTTCTTATATTTAGGTTGTTGGGCTGTTTTGAGTCAGTTTTGCATTCAGACGAGGTAGGGGTCCAAGTTCATTCCTTCGCATGTGGCAACCCACTTGTCCCAGCACCATCTGGTGGAACTTTCGCTCTCCTCACTGAGTGGCCGTGGCACCCTGCTGAACATCAGCCGGCCACAGGTGTGTGGGTCTGTTCCAGGCCCCCAGTTCTTTCCCACTCATGTGTGTCTGTCCTGATGCCGGAGCCGACCTGCTTTCATCACCGCGGTTCTGTGGTCGGTTGAGAAACTGGGAAGTGCACATCCTCGGACTTTCTTCTTCTAAGATTGTTTTGGCCATCTGGGGTCCCTGTATGTAACTACATACGAACTTTTTTAAAAGATTTATTTATTCCCTCTAGAGATGGGGAAGGGAAGGGACGGAGAAAGAGGGCGAGCAGCACTGCTATGAGAGAAACATCTACCAGCTGCCTCTCACACACCCAGTCCGAGGACTGAACCCTCAACCCGGGCACTGAATGCCCGACTGTGCGCTGACCTGGCGACCTTTTGCTTTCTGGAAGGACTCCCAACCAAGTGAGCCACTCCTGTCAGAGCGATAGTTTTACTTCTTCCTTGCAGATGCAAATACCTTTCATTTCTTTTTGCCTGTTGCTCTGGTTAGAACTTCCAGCATAAGGCTGACAAGCTGCGGGGAAAGCAGGTGTGTTTTCCTGATCTTGGTGGAATAGCTTTTACGCTTTGTCTAATGTTAGCCGTGTTTTTTTTTTTTTAATGATTTATTAATTTTTTTTTACAGGGGTAGGGAGAAAGGGGGAAGAAAACATCTCGCACACCCCCTACTGGGGACCTGGCCTGCAACCCAGGCATGTGCCCTGACTTGGAATCAAACCGTTGACCCTTTGGTTCGCAGGTCTGGGTTCAACCCACTGAGCCACACCAGCCAGGGTGTGACAGGTTTTCTTATGATGAACCACCCTGCACAGGGTGAACATGGGGATATAATACTATACTGCTGAGTTCAATTTGCTCATGTTGTTTTGAGAGTTTTATAGCCATAAAAGATCTTGATATGAATTTTCTTGTGATGTCTTTATTTGGCCCTTCTTTCTCTTCCAGTATTTGGAAGACTGTGAAAAAAAAAACTGGTATTAATTCTTCCTTAAATGTTCAGTAGAACTAACCAGTAAAGCTGTTTGGTCCTGACCTTTCCTTGGTTAGGAAGTTTTTAAATTATTGATTCAATATTTTATTGTTATGGTCTATTTGTTTTTTATACCTTTTTTTAATTAAAAAACTTTTATGGACTTTAGAGAGAGAGGAAGGTGGGGGAGGAGAGTAGAGAGAGAGAGAGAAACAAAGAGAACCAAACACTGATTTATTGTTCCACTTATCTGTGCATTCATCGGTTGATTCCTGCATGTGTTCTGACCGGGGATCAAACCCACAACCTTGGGTCAATGTTCCTCTCTCTCTCTGTCTCCTCACTCCAACTTCTCTCTCTGAAATAATTTTTTAAACATAGAGGAGAAATGAAGACATTCCAGATAAAGGATGAGGATGTTTACTGCTGATAGACCTGCCCTTCAGGAAGTTCCGCAGGCAGCCATGCAGGCCAAAGGACAGTGGGCAGGGCCAAGGGCCAAGGGCCGTGTCAGGAGAGGAAGGTCTCTGGTGGAGGTGACTGCACAGGCACGCACAAAAGCTGGTGCTATTGCATTTTTGGTTTATAATTCCACTTTCTATTTCCTATACGATTTAAAAGACAAATGCATAAAATAATTATAAATTTAAAAAAACCCTTTTATTTATTGATTTTAGACAGAGGAAGGGAGAAAAGGATAAGGGGAGAGAGAGAGAGAAACACTTTCTTGTTCCACTTACGCATTCAGTGGTTGATTCTTGTACGTGCCTGACCTGGGATCGAACCCTGTAACCTTGGTGTATCAGGATGATGCTCTAACCAGCTGAGCTGCCCAGCCAGTGCTATACAACTCTGTTTTTTGAACACAAAGTAGAAGATGCATCTGTGACAACAACAGCACAAAGAGGGTGACAGAGCCATATGGAAGTGGGAGTTTTGTGTGCTATTGTAGCTAAGTTAGTGTCAATTAGAATGTAACCGTTTTACTCTGGGACCTGATACATAGCATGGTGACTGGAGTTAACAACACTGCACTGTACACTTGAAAATGGCTAAGAGAGTAGATCTTAATCACCGCATCAAAAACACGGTAACCATGTGAGGTGATGGATGTGTTAACTGAACTTATGGTGATGATCATTTGCAACATGTACGTACCTCAAACCATGTCATGGCTCACCTTAACTCACACCCTGTCCTATGTGAACTGTATCCCAGTAAAGCCTGGGGTGGGGGGGGACAAGCCACAGAAGGAGGAACAAAATGACTGCTTTGGGATGTGAGGATGTTAACTGTAACCCCCCCTAAGAAAATGTTTTTAAAATAAACACAAAAGAAGAAGAAAATCTAGATGGTGCACTACAAAAAATAAACTAAATGCAAAAGAAGACAGTTACAGAGAAAATGAGGGACATAAACGGTAAGGGGTTCAAACTCCTGTCAAAAGGCATTTATTGCTGGAATAGGTGTTTTTTTTTAAAGGATAATCCTACGACATATGCTGTCTAATGATGGGCTTTAGATCCAGTGACACAAGTGAGCTTGAAGTGAAAGGCGAGCCCTGGCTGGTGTGGCTCAGCAGGCTGAGTGCAGGCCTGCGTGCGAACCAGAAGCCCCCTGTTTCGATTCCCAGTCAGGGCACAGGCCTGGGTTGTGGGCCAGATCCCCAGCAGGGGGCGCGTGAGAGGCAACCATACATTGATGTTTCTCTCCCTCTCTTTCTCCCTCCCTTACTCTCTGTAAACACAAATAAAACCTTTTATAAAAAAAAAGTAAAAATAAAGTGAAAAACGAAAAACAACATCCCGTGCAAACTGTAACCAGAACAGCTAGGGTGACTGAATATCAGACACAAGTAAAATAAGTCAAAAACTATTTTAAGAGAAAAGAACATTATATATTGATAAAAAGATCAGTTCTTCAAGAAGATAGAAAGTTATAAACAAACTCACCAAAAAAGAACCCTAAAGTATATGAAGCAAACAGATTTGAAAGGAAAAATAGTTTTATAATGATAGTTGGAGACTTCAATACCTCATTTCCAAACATGGACAGAACACCTGGACAGAAGATCAATAATGAAATAGGGAACAGCACTACAAACCAGCTAGACTTCATAGATATACACTGCACCCAAAGGACCAGGTACATGCTCCTCTCCATTATACACGGAACGTTCTTCAACATAGATTATGTTAGGTCACAAAACAAGTTTCAGTAAATTTTAAGAGACTGAAATGATGTAAAGTTTCATGTCCAACCAATGATAGCAGGAAAAGTCACACATATGTGGAAATTAAAGAACATACTCCTAACCAGTGGATCAAGGAAGTAGTCACAAGGAAAATTAGACAATACCTACAGACAAATGAAAACAAAAACATAGAATGTCAAAGCTTAGGGCATGCAGGGAGGGTAATGTGAAAGGGAAAATCTAAAAAGATTTCAAGTCAGTAACCCAGTGTTACACCTTCAGGAACTGCAGAAAGAAGAGCAAAGCACACCCACTGCTGGCAGAAGGAAGGCAGTGATAAACATTAGAGCAGAGATCACTGAAATAGTAGAAAAACAACGGAGAGCCAACAAAATGAAACGTTTTGTTTTTGAAAAGGTGAACAAAATTGACTAACCTTTAGACTGAAATAAAAGAGTAGACAAGAAAAATCAGAAATGAAAATGGAACATTAGTGCAAACCCTACAAAAATAAAAAGGAATATGAGAGCACTGATAACAGCTGTACACCGACAAACTGGGTGACCTAGATGAAAAAGATAGATTCCTGGAAAAAGCACAGGTGACTGAAAGTGACTCAAGAATAGGGAGAGGCCGGGCGGCTGGGTTGCATGGAGTACTGTCCTTGTCGCCAAAGTTGCAGGTTTGATCCCTGGGCAAGGCACACACTGGGATCAGCCAGCGAATGCATAAATAAGCGGAACAACAAACTGAGATTCCGTCTTTTTTTCTCTCCCTCCCTCTAAAAAAAAATTCAATAAATAAATATGACCTGGCTGGTGTGGCTCAGTGGGTTGAGTGCTGGCCCGCAAACCAAAAAGTTTTCGGTTCAATTCCCAGTAGGGCACATGCCTGGGTTGTGGTTCAGGTCCCTGGATGCGGGTGTGTGAGAGGCAACTGACTGATGTTTCTCTTGCACATCGATGTTTCTCCCCCACCATAAATAAATAAATAAATAAATAAAATCTAAAAATAAATAATCATTAAAAAATAAACATCACAGAGCTTTCCTACCATTTTAAGTTGTCTTTTCCTTGATTCAGCATTGGCTTGGTTGCTATAAGTGTATTTTCCAGATTTCTGACAAAGTTGGTCGAAACAGTTTCTGCTTATATCTATAAAATATTTCTGTGGCCCTGGCCAGGTGGTTTAGTTGGTTGAGGCATCGTCCCGCACACCAAAAGGTTGTGGGTTTGATCCCTGGTTGGGGCAGTTAGGGAGGCAACCAATCGATGTTGCTCTCTCTCTCCCTCTCTCCAAAATCAATAAACATATCCTTGGGGAAGAATGAAAAGTAATAATAAAAAATATTGACGTGGAAAACAAGTGTTTGGAGCTGCCTACTCCACCATTTTCTACACTGCGGCTTTTTGAACTTGCGCGGCCTCTGACCTGGGTGTCTTCTGGAGCAAACGTCCGAGCTGCCTTCCCCTCTCTCTGCACAGCACGCCCTCGGCCTCTGCCTGGGGCAGGGAGCAGGCCTCTATTTCAGAGCCGCCTCTTGGGAGCTCGTCACGTCTCTCTTCCCTCCCCCTCCGTGACACACATTGGACGACTGCCCCACGCCAACCTTCTCTGCTCCCAGCCTGGCCTTCCCCGGCCACACAGTTCTGACAAGGGCACTCTGCCCAGTTGTCCCTAGTGAAACAACAGGTCCCTGTAGGGCAAACGTGTCTTCTTGTCCAACAGCTCCTGTCAGACCCCAGCAGGGAAGGCTAAGGCTGAGCAGGCAGCCTGAGCACCGCTGAGACGTGCCCAGGAGAGAGAGCTGTGACGCCTGAGGAAGGACTCTCTGGGAGGGTCCTGAAGGGCACGGATGCAGCTGGGCAGGTGAAGGAAGGCAGAGGGAGCCAAGGCCTGATTAGGGCAGAGGTGAGGGAAGGGGGGGCCACTCCAGGTGGCCAGGCCGGGCAGGGCTCAGCTGGCAGCCGTGTGCCAGGTGGGGAAAGCAGAGCATCACACTCAGGGCACAAGGGCCGCCAGGGACCAGGCCAGCTTCCTCTCTGACACCCAGCCCCGGCCCCTCCAGTCCACAAAGCACCCCACCCCTAAAGATGACACAGACAGCTAATGAACTAATGGGGGTAACTGCAGGGTGACATGGACAGAGCTCCCCCAGAATGAGGGCACCAGGGGAGAATTCAGTCCTAGTACCTGGCTGCTGATGGTGCTGGGGGGCAGCTCCCTGGTCAGCGTCGCCGCAGCAGAGCGGAGCACACAGTGCAGACGCAGGGCGGGTCACGGCGGGCACATCACTCACACGGGCTGCAGGGGTCCATGGGGATGGTCCAGGAGCTGAGGGATCCATTTCCGCCTCTTCGGGGCGGGCTCTGAGGCTGGGCATGCCTGGGGCCTGCAGGCCAGAAAGGGCACTGGTAAGTGTGCACAGGATTGGCCGCAGGGACCCCCCCAACCCTGCAGCCCGAGATTGAGGAGAATGTGCTACTGAGCCTCAGGGGACCTCCACCACTGATCCAGACCCGAAAGGAGGGTCAGCCAGCCACAGGGACACCGAGGGCAAGGAGTCCACAGGGCCCTGCAGGCATGCCCTGGAAACACCCAAGCCTGCCTCAGCAGGAGGGCAGCCCCACAGAGCCTGCACCCGCTGGGGGCCCAGCCCTCGCTCCTGACAATGTCCTGAAGGACGTCCCCTGAGCCACTCACAGGGGGACCGGCAGTTCCAAAGTTTGGGTAGCCAGAGGCAGCCTGTGCTAGGGACATGTCCGTGGTCACCTAGTGGCCAGTCCTGTGTGAGCTGCGCCCTCATCCACAGATGACCTTATCCACAGATGACCTCCTCATCCCCACACTGGGGCCACCCTCCCCCTGCACCAGCAGTCCCCCCCCCCAGGCCCTTCATCCCCCTCTTCGTGTTGGTGTCCCAGGCTTCACTACCACAGAGGAAGGGCCCTGACACCAACTTCCTTGGTGGACGGTCCAGTCCTGTGGCATCAACAGCCCTTATCCTGTGAATACTCCTAAACCCGCTCATCTCCAGCCCCAACGGCTCCCCCTGAGTGGGGATATACCCCTCCGCGCTTCATCCACACAGTATCAGTGACGGGTCCACTGACCCCTCCACCTTTCAGGGGTGAAGATGAGGTCGGAAAGTTGGCAAAAGCCCAGTGTAGACATTGCCTGCCAATCTATGGCCTGGATTTTTAAAAAAAAGTTTATAGATTTTATAGAGAGAGGAAGGGGAAGAGACACAGGGGGCGGGTGGGAGAGAGAAGCATCAACTCGTTCCACTTATTTCTGAATTCATGGGCTGTTCCTTGTATGTCCCCTCACCTGGGATCAAACCTGCAACCTTAGAGTACCAGGACGAAACTAATTAACTGAGCTAGCCATCCAGAGTGGATTTTTCCCCTTGGACATGTGTTTTCAGTGTTTCCCAAACACCCATCACATGCCTGGGTCTGTCCTGGGGACGCTGTGAAAACACAGCAGTGACTGCGGCACTCACAGACTTCAGTGGGGAGACATCACAGCAAATGCATCGGTGAGGTGGGCAAGCGTTCTGGGCAGAGGCAGCAGGGAAGGGCTGCAGCCCTGGGGCTGGGGGGCATTTAAACTAGGCCCAGAAGAGGCTTTAGGCCACACTGGTTAGAAAGGTGGAAGAAGCGGCGGGGGGCAGGGGGGAGTGTTTGAAATGGGGCAGAGCTGTGGTCAGAGCCCAGGGGCAGGGTTACTGGGAGACTCCAAGAAGCCTTGGCTGCCTCCTGAAGGTGAGGAGGCACCAGCCACATTCCTACATTAGGAAAGAGACAGAACAGATGGACCGCGTGGGGAAGGTTGGCCTGGCCCTGGTGGCAAGTGGGCGGCGCAGACGAGGTGTAAAGCAGGGAGAGCACTGGTGTCCATCCCTGTGGCGACAGAACAGAGCGGAGGCGCTTCCACCAGGCTGGGGGGAAGGGCAGCTTCACTCTCCCGCTCCCAAGGGGAGACTCAGTCGTGTGGGTAGTTCAGTTTACTTTAAATTTCTTGAAATCATCATCGCTGTAACCAAACGGGGGCACAGGCATACGACTCAAAATTCGAGTTAAAAAAGTATCTCCCAGCCAGCCACTCATTTCCCCTTCCAGAATAAGCTTCACAAGCGAATATGCATACTTTTTCTTTGCCTCTTCAATGTAAAGTATAACGAACTATGGTCGTTCAGATGTTTTTCTGGATCTTGCCCAGGAGGGCACAGACCCAATCGGTAGTAGAGAGAAGGCCCCTTCCCACCCACATCCACATGGGATCACCTGAGGTCTGTGGATATGCTACACTATATGTAAAACATACTTTGCAGAGGGAATTAAGGTTTGGGCCCAAGGGTATCCTACTGGACGCCAAGTAATTACAGGAGTCGTTGCTGACGATCTGAGACACAGGTCAAGTGCAAGGACTGGGGCCTCCAAGAGATAAGGACAGGAAATCAGTCAGTAAGAAAACATGCACTTCAGTGCAACGACCTCAAGAAACTGGATTATGCCAAAGAACCTGGGAGCAAATTCTCGTTCTTTAGTGCTCAACCTGGAGCTGAGAAAAGAGGCAAGTGGAGCGCCCAGCAGTCACCAGACCACGGCAGGCACCCACGGGATTGGCACGACCCACCCCTCAGACTCACTCCGAAGGCCCCGGGTTCCTTCTCCACCCTGAGCGCGAATCTGCCACCGGCGGGGCCTCCAGGCGGGACACCGGGGGATTGCGAGACAGCCCACCCCTCACAGCCCGACGTCCGCGCCTAATTGCCGTGACCCTTCCTGCAACCCCACCGCCAAGACGCCACTCCCCGCACACCTGTCCCGTCGCTGTGGCAGCTGCGCCAGGCGCCCCCGCTGCCAGGACCCCGGGCTGGGGCAGGTCGGCCACTACTGTGTCCCTTCCCGAGGGCACCACCCAAGCCCCCAAGGCTCGGACCCCACCCAGGAGGAGCAGCGCTAGCCCCCGCGCCCGCGGTTCCCACGGCCATTGCCCGTCCGCCCTAGACAGCCCGGGGCTGGCACCCACCGCGGGGCCAAGGGCATCACGCGGGAGCGCGGTCGGCACCGTGGAAGTTTAACCCTCGCGAACCCCCGCCCCGGGGGTCGCTCCGGGGAGGACGCAAAGCCACGACGCCCAAGCAGATCGCCCGAGGCGGACTCCGGAAGTCCCGCCCCAACTTCCTCTCCGAGGGCCCGCCCGCCCTGGCCCGCGTGACCGCTCTAGGCGGCGGGAGGCAGCTGCGACTCGGTGGGTCCGACCCCTACTCCCTGCAGACGCAAATTCCAGCGGGGTCGCAGCTGCAGAGCCCGTCCGTGTAACTAAACATAAAAAAGACAGCCGATTAGCCCTGGCCAGGTGGCTCAGTGGGTTGGAGCGTGGTCTCGTACCCCAAAGGGCTGGGGTTCGATCGCGGTCAGAAGTCGTACTTAGGCTGCGGGGTGCGGCGGGGTGGGTTGGTCCCGACCGACCGGGCGCGAATCGGAGGCGACCGAACCCTGTGTCTCTCTCCAGTCTTACTGTGACATGGCCCTGAGCGACAACTTTGTTACCACTAGACTCTGTAAGCTCCTACTCTGACTGGTGAACAGCAGCGTTTCGAATTAACAACAATCCAGAGCGAGATCAAGCTCACCCCGCCCCGTCTGCAGGAACAAGCCTGCGGTCCGGCAGTCAGGGGTGTGGAGCCATTGCCAGGAGGGGGACGAGGACCGTGGGTGCCTCACCAAAGTAACAGCGGTTGCAGGACTGCGCGGAAGCATGCAGGCAGGTGAGACCCGCCTGAAGCCACGGTGCGCTTCAGCGCTGCACTGTGAGGTAGAGCCGGGCTCACCTCCCGGGACGTGGAAGGCGGTCCCCATCGCTTCTCCGGGGCAGCTTTAATTAAGGCTGCTTCTTCGTGTCCAAGGAGTAAAAATGGGGCGTTTCATTCTTGATGCAACGTCTAACACATTTCCGTTAGTGTAGGAGAGCGATTTTACGGTGTGCCGCTGCGATTTTTGAGATATACAACAGCAGCAGTCCTGGCTGGTGTGGCTCAGTGGACTGAGCGCTGGCCTGTGAAGCCAAGGGTCGCGGCATGGATTCCCAGTCGGGCACATCCCTGGGTTGCGAGATGGTCCCTGGTGAGGGGCGCGCCAAAGGCAACGGCACATTGATGTTTCTCTCCCTCTCTTCCCATCTCAAAACAAATACATAAAATCTTTACCAAAGGGGGAAAAAAAAGACACGCAATACCTGACTAGTCAGTGCCTTAGTCAATTAGATGACCCCTTTTCCCTTATATTGTCAAATAAACAAAGGACAACAGCCAACACAATGTTTGTCCGGTGTGAACGACTCAAAATTATACCTATTTTTCTGTCAGATGAGCAAAAAATATATTTTTAGTAATTAGTTTGTGTGTGCCATGAGATGAAAAAGTTTGAAAATCGCTGGTCTGTGACATTAGAAAACCAAGTTCCTCAGCAGGAAAGCAGAGAGGCGAAATGCCGACGTCTTCCAGTGGCACCTCTGTTTGGGAGAAATATTGCCTCCTAGTAAATTTGAAGCTGGTTTTAGCTGCGTCTGCTATTGCAGTGCAAGGAGTGACTTCAGAGATTTTTTTCGTTCTCATTCTGAGCTAATTTGTATTTCCTCATCCCTGAAAAGTGTGACTACTTCCTGTCCTCTGACATTCCATGTATGGAAGGGGAAAAATATATTGTTTTTTTGTGTGTGTGTGTGGTTTTTTTGGAGAGTATCAGAATCTTTCCTCATGGGACATCTGGCCTCTTCTTTTGTAAGGTCCAAGTGTCTCTTTAGAAGATTTAATGGCTTTTCACTTGCACTGAGAAAGACCGGAGCAGGCTGTCTACCTATTTCGCCCTACAGACACCATCAGCATTATTCAGGGGCAGAATGTCTGTCGCTAGACTCTCCTGATTACCATTCTGGGCCTGGGCCTTCGACGATGCACAGCTTTTGCCTTTGAAGGCTTGCCTGCTACTACTGAGTTACGGACCCATTTTCATTACAGCCTGCAGGAAATAGCCACTGGTGGCTGTTTCGCAGACATTGGTTCCCCCTCCGCAATGCCCTTCTCAAAGCCTGGGTGAAAAGTGTCTGCAACCCCTCCTGGGGGCTGTAAGAGGGGTGGGTGAGCAAGTCCTCCATCCACTCCAGCATTCCCATCTCCCCGAGCCTCTAGTCTCTGCTGTAAACTCGTGCAGTTCTGGCACACCTTGGAAGGGGTTACTAGAAAGGTACAGTGTCCACAGAGCAGAGCTCAGGTTCCTGGATTTCAAACTGTCCTGGCTGATGTCTCCCTGTGTCCAGGACGGCTCAGGTGATGAAGGCCTGTGCCATGGTGGTCTGCTGTGTGTCTGCAGGCACTGGTCTCACTTTCCTCCAGAAGGTTCTTTCCATCCATGGAGGAAATCTAAGACCTTCTGTTCTCAAGCGTAACTGATTTACTTGGTTTGGATCCGAGAGGCACCAAATAGGTGCCTGCTCTGTGCTAATTATCACACGTAGCACCAACAGGCTGTGGTACCATGAGTCACGACAGCCTGGCTCCCAGCCAATATTAAAGGCAACTTCAAAGCATGCAGCCAAGCCCTGGCCAGTGTGGCTCAGTTCTTGGCGCATTGTCCCATAGACAGAGGGTTGTGGGTTCAATCCCTAGTTCTAGTGACTCTGCCTCACCTGGGGTCCTGTCTTCTGCAGCAGAAGGGCCAGCCAGTCCCCCCACCGTCTGCTCAGTGCCAGGGACCCTGTGGATGGAACCTGCTGCTCACCTTCTCCTCCCAAGAAACTGCCACCTTGGTTTTAAAAACAGAACCTGTTATGTTGTGTCCCATGTTTCCATGTATCTACTTTATGCCCATTTTCCTCCCAATTCACAGTCTTTTATTTCCAAATTACAGAAAAATCCAATTTACATGTTTCCTTTGACTTCTCAGTGGGATCTCAAGTTTGATTCTACATACGAGCCTCAACTCATTCTTTAAAAAACGTTGCTTATACTTATACTCATGAGGTGCTCTCTGGTGCGGGTCACCTGACTTTCAAGGTTAAAGTTACCATATCCGTCTCAATAGAACAGAAACATTTTGAAGAGACCCAAACAAATAAGCAAAGAAACAATGAAACAAGAAAATGCTAGTGGTGTGTGGTTTTCTCAGACTCAAAACTGCAAGGATCCCCCTTACTTTTCTTTTTTCTTTTCCAGTTACATTTCTTGAAGCTGAAATAGATGAAGAGGAAAGAACAGCAAGTGGCCAAACGAAATGCAGGAGGGCTGACACCAGGACAGCAGGACCTGCATACATACATGTGAATTGCGCGTGTGTAACACACTCAAGCAGAGGGCCAGCCTTTGAGCTGGAGGGAGGGTCGTCGCCTTGGAAATTTTACCATGTAGCTGGGCAGCCTGTCTTTCATTAGCAGCTCACTAGGGGAGAGTTAAATCCCTTAAGAGCTGAATCTCCAAAAGCACAGTGATAAAGTGATGGCTTTCTCGCTGGTATGACTCTCCTGATGTGAGGCACTGGAGAACTCATCCAGCGAAGCGGCGTGCTGCACTGCGAGCGTCCTGATGCTGAGTGATGGCGGCAGGTGCAGGAGAGCTCCCCACAGTCACTGCGCTCCCCAAGGTGAGTTGTGTGGATTTTCTCATGACCTGTGAGAGTTCCTCTCTGACGGAAAGTTTTCCCACGTTCATTACACGTGAAAGCTTGCTCCCACTGTGAATTTTCTGGTGTCGGATAAGGTGGGCGCTTCCTCTGAAGGCCTTCCCGCACGCACAGCACTCGCAGGCCCTCTCTGCAGTGTGACTCCTCTGATGCCGAGTCGGTCGTGAGCCCTGGCTGAAGGCCTTCCCACAGGTGTGACCCACACAGGACATCTCTCCATCACATGTCCTGTGATGCGGGACAAGGAGGAGACACACTGCAGGTGCTCTCACAGTCATGGCTCCGGTGGGGCCTCTTGTCACTGCAGGTCTCTGGATGGCGACCAAGGTGAAAACTGGCTGCAGGCTTTTGCACACTCCTGACACTCACACGGCTTCTCTGCAGGGTGACTTCGCCGACGCTGAGTAAGCTGTCCCTTTTGCCTGAATGTTTGCCCACGCCCATGCCATCCACCAGGTTTTCCTCCAGTGTGGGGTGTCTGGTGGCAGGTAAGGGACAGGTGAGCGCCCAGGGCTTTTCCACACACTGCAGACACAAGGCTTCTCTCCGGGGTGAATCACCGACATTGAATAACTTGTGAGCGCTGACTGGAGAATTTTCCACATTCCTTATACCGATAGGGTTTCTCCCCACTGTAAATTCCCTGATGGACAATAAGGAAGCAAGCAGTTCAGGCGAAAGGATTTTCCACACTCATGGCACTCATAGGGTTTTTCTTGTGTATCAATCCCCTGATGCAAAATAAGGGATAATTGTGCACCAACAGCTGTGCCGCAGCCAGCACAGGCATGCGGGTGTCTCCAGTACCAGTTCTCCGGCGCCACATGAAGGGTGACTGTCGACCGGAGGCTCTCCCACACTCCCTGCCCCTGTGAGGTTTCTCTCCACCGAGGCCTCCCTGGGGACGAAGCCAGTCCGGCCAGAGTGGCGGTATCAGGTGGCAAGTGGTCAGAATCTAGGTTCATGTCAAAGGGTTTGCTGAATTGGATGTGTGATGAGACAGCAAGACTTTTGGCCCAAGCAATAGAGATGATGAAATTTGCATTCACGCAGAAGGATGAGACTGTAGGAGTATATCTGAAGGGTAAAAATGGAGGGTTGTTCTGTACATATCTGTGTAAGATGCCTGTTGGACTTAGACGTGGAGGGTTAAGCATCTGGATGTACAGTTAACCCTTGACCAACACAGGTTTGGACTGTGCGGGGCCACTGGCATGTGGATTATCTTCCATAAGCACATGAAGCGTTTTTGCTACCCGGTTGGGAGTCAATGGGTGCATTTCACGTGGGAGCTCGAGCTTTGCAGATTTTGGTGCTTGCTGGGGGAAGGGGTGCTCTGAAACCAACTGTCTGTGGATACTGAAGTACAAGTTAATTTGGGGGCAGTCAAAAGTTATGTGCAGATTTTCCACGGCAGGGGTTGTGTGAGTCAGCACCTGACACCGCCGCCGTTCAAGAGTTGACTGCACAGGTCCAAACTCCAGGAGACAGGCCGCGGCTGGCTGGGTGCACACCGGGAACTGTCAGCGCGTGTGACTTTCAGAACCACAGGCTGAACTTTTACTTTAGGCTGAAAGGTAACACGAGGTTTCACTCTCAGGAAAACCTCCCCTGCCGGCCTCTAATACATAGCTTGCCTCCATCCCCACGGCACCTCCGTGCAAATAAACCCATCAGTTCAAGTGGAAGCGAGCCCCTTTCCCCTGGTCCAGCCACTGTGGCCCTAGAGGACCACAAGGCCCAGCCCTGGTCAACAAAACACGAAGGGCAGTTTGCCAAGAGGCTTCCAGGAAGGGCTTTCCTTCCCCAGTCACAACAAGGAAACAATGAGAAACACCTCTGTTTGGAGTGACCATGAGGGAACACCAGGAGAACCTCGAAGACACGTCCCAGGGGAAACCCTGGGCCCATCTCCATCACTGAGGCCTGTGTTGCGCAGGTTTTCCCGAAAGGCAGGTGACCCCAGGCATGCGGATGCTCGAGTCATTCCTCAGGGCGGGGCCTTCCCAAGTCTCCACCTGAGCCCAGTGGGCCTGTGAGCGGCGGCCCCTGGCGCTCACGCCCTCTGCGTCTCTCTCGTGTCTCTCGTGGTCGGCCTTCACTTCCGGACTCATCCAGGGAAGCACGGGCTCCGGACTCCAACAGGACTAGGTTCCCATGAGGGGCATCCACCTATGAACACAAAGGTCTCAGGTAAGCACCTTGACTTATCCACACACATCTCTGAAGTGACTATTTTGAGAGTTCAGTAAGAAAAAGGTAAAAAGCTCTTCGCACATTGTCCACCAATCACACACAGTGGGGTCCTCACGAAATCTGACCACACCATCCATTGGTGTCACTGCTCATGCACTGGAATGAATGGCTCGCCTGGGCCTGCCCTGCACAGCCTCCACTTTCCGCTGCTGAATCTGCTCCTGTCCAGAAGCACCTGCCCCCTCCACCCCGTTCCCGGGCTTCAGCCCCTCTGTGCACGCTGCCCCCTACCTCCCGGACTCCCCCAGCACTGCCACGGAGGGGTCTGGTGGCTGACCCCCCCCCCCCCCCCCCGCCACCTGCGCAAGAGCCAGGGCTGTGTGGAGAGCAGGGCCAATGAAGTGGCATTGGTCTGATTAAGATAGCACAAAATACACAAACAAAGCGGAGCCTCTCTTGTCAACCAAAATGGCTGCGAGTCAGCCATGACAGTTTGGTTCCTGAGGGATACCGGCCAAGTCAGCAGACACGTCTGGGAAGGAGACAAAGCCCAAGATACCTGCACACGTGATCAGAACAGCCACGTCTGCAGAGCGGGACCACCCACAGATAGGCTCCTGGGGAAATTCCCCGCTTGCCAGTGGGGGTGTCAAGATAGTGACTGAAAAGACCCGGAAGGGTGGAGTCCACCCCGTTCAAGGTGTGACTGAGGCAGGCTCCAGACCACTGCGGAGAGAGCCGAGCTCCGCACGCCAGAGGGCTGCTCCGCGCCGCCACGCTGGTCTCCCTTGGCATCGGTTGCCGGAGGCTCTGCCCTGCTGGGCTGAGGACTTTACCTGCCCTGCTGCCCACCTGGCTCTGGAGATCCTTCCTTGCAAGATACATCAGGGCGTGGACTGGGGCTGTCCCCGGACTTCCTTCCTTCTTAAAGTTACAGGTATTTTTACTGAGATTTTGTTAAGTTTACAGCTTAGCGGGAGAAAATTTAACTCTCTTACAATATTAAATCTTCCGATACAGCAATATACACTATATTTCCTTTTATCCAAATCGCCTTTCCAGTCCCTGGTATCTCTCATGCAGTTTATCACCAGATGCTTGGCCCCAGGGGAGCGCTGGCCGCTATTCACAGCGCTTCCCGGCGGGACTGCTCTTCACGTTCGTGCTCTTCACGTTCACGTGCGCTCGCGCCCCTGGAGCTTGAGCTCGGAAGGCTCTCTCCTGGGTTGTCCCGCTCAGAGCGACGTCTGCAGCACGGTAGGCAGCCGTGACCACGTGTTCCCGAGGGCCTCGCCGCAGCCGCCGGCCCCGCCCACCGAGACGCCCCGCCCACCGAGAGGCCGCGCCCCGCCCACCGCGCCAGGCCGCGTTGCTGGCGGAGCGAAGACGCCGGGGACTCCGGGCACTGCGTAGCTTCCGGCGTCGGCGGCGCATGGCGGTGAGCGGTGCCTGGAGGGTGCGCGGGTGGCGGGTCTTTGGGCCGTAGGCTGCCCTTCGTGACTCTCTTGCTGACTGCCTTTCTCCAGGCCCTAGGACATCCTGCCCGGGAGACACCGGCGACCCCAGGCCCAGGTAGCGCCCGCGCGCCCCGCAGCCCCTGGCTCCCCACGCCGCTCCCCGGCGCCCCGAGTCCTTCTGCTGCCCTGTCTCATCCCATCCGTCTGTGTTCAGTGCAGTCCACGGGCAGTGACGCCGCTTCCAGGGCGCATCCCGCAGGCGGCGAAGGCGACGCAGCCTCTAGGAAGCAAAAGAAGAAGAAAGCCAGGAATAGGGCCTCTGCGTCTAATGGAGGCGGGAAGGCCTTGGAAAAGCCAGTCCCCGAGGATGCCCCTCTAAGCAAGGAGGCCCAGGCAAGGACGGTCCCGAGTCGGCGAGGGTAGAGTCCCCTGGTGCATTCCGGGTGAGGGTCCGCCAGCGGTCGTGGTGTCGGATTTGCGGAGTGAAGGCAGGGAGGGCAATGGAATGGGGGCTGAGGCCACAGGGTCCTCGTAGCCTCTTACAGCCACTGTCTCCAATCCAACGCAGGCGGAGCAGCTGGCTCGGGAACTGGCCTGGTGCGTGGAGCAACTGGAACTGGGCCTCAAGATGCAGAGACCCAACCCAAAACAGAGTGAGGGGCCCTCGCGTACAGTTGGGTGGAGGTGAACCGTGTCAACAGTTTGGCCTGCAGATGCTGCCAGGGGTTAGACTTATTGCTTTGGCGTAGAAGGTGAGGTTAGAGGAGGTTTCTAGCTTTTCATTTTTATCTGCAGAAGAACAGGCTATTGGGGCCATCCGAACCCTGCGCAGTGAAAGAACCCCTCTGCCCCGGAAGAGGCAGCTCATGCGCTCCTTGTTCGGTGACTACAGGGCTCAGATGGGAGCTGAGTGGCGCGAAGTCCTGCGAGATCTCAGGACTGGTGAGGAGCTGAGAACTTGGAGGACTGCCTAGTTCAAAGCGGGTAGGGAGGAAGAGCATATGGAGTGAGAGGAAGAATCCCAGGGCAACAGGTCTGGTGAGGGAAAGCCTGGACCTCGGGTGCACAGAACGCAGGCCTGTGTCGGGAGCCAGGGGTGGGGAATCTGAATTTCTCTGTGGCCTAAGTGGTGTGTGATGATAATGCCTAGCTTATAGAAGCAAATCAGTTAATTAATGTACATTTCTAAAGATTTATTTTTAGGGAGAGAGGAGAAGGGAGGAAGACAGAGAGAAATATGGATGTATGAGAGAAACTTCGATCAGTTGCCTCTTAGGTGCCCCCACACAGGGACCTGGCTCCCAACCCAGGCACCCGCCCTGACCAGGAATCAAAATGGCAACCTTTCTGTTTGCAGGACGACACCCAACCCACTGAGCCACACCAGTCAGGGCAGGAAGCAAATCAGTTAATTTATATGAAGTGGTTACAGTTGTATGGGCAGAGTTGGCATCAGCCTTCATTACCCAGTTCTGACACTCTGTCTTCTCTTCCACAGCAGCCCGCTCAGCCCAGGTGCAGCCTGTAGGTGAGGCCACCAGAAAGAAGAGCGGAAGGGTCTGCAGGCCTCGCCCAGCAAGGGCAACCAAGGCCACCTCGGACACTCCTGAGGAAGAGTTTAGGTTCAATTTCTTTTAGCCTTCCCCCGACCCCGGAGGTGTGGGGGTCTGTCTTGAGTGCAGAGCCTTACCAGGAATGCTCTGTCAGACAGATGTGGGGTCGGTCCATCCCTGGCTGGCCAGCTCATTCGGTGCCGTGGCTGTCAGGTGTCTGTGAGACCAGCATATCGAGTCCTGTGCCCCAAGCAGAAGACCCCATTTGTGGGATTTCAGATGAACGGTTCCTGCTGCTGGAAAAGGGGGTCCTTTCAGAAAGGCTCCTGCAGTGCAGGGAAGTGTGAGCATGTGGCAGGAGCAACATCTTGCCCGGAGTTCAGGGTTAGACCGAGTGGCTGAGGGTGAGTGGGGAAGCAGCGTGATTGCGCATTGGCTCTCCATGCGGAGAGGGTGTGCTGTCACTCACTGTGGTGCTTTGTGCTGCCTTGTCATGGCGCCGTAATAAAACCGTTTCATAAAATAGGACGAGTGAGTGTGCTAATTGCCTGTGGCAGACAAGCTGCAGACGATGCAGACGTCGGGCACTGTGGGTCCAGGCTCTCTCCCAGTGCACGCTCTTTGTGTTGCCTTCATCCAGAGCAAGTGTCATCCTCAGGGACCAGTGCGGCCCCCGCAGCCTTTGTTCTTACGTGACTCTTGGTGCGCTGGCTGCTGCAGGCGAGAGCCCCAGGTCTCGTGCTGCAGAGTCGGGGCTGGCAGGGCTCTCAGCCCTCCCCGGGGGCTTTGATGCCATGTTTGCTGGTGCCTCCCAGACTTGCGTCCCAGACTAGACGGGTATGTGGAGCTCACTCACCTACCTAGTCAGCATCTCTACCTTGACATTTCAGACTGATCCAGAACGTTCTGTTAGCCCCAAAGCCTCCCTTTGTTTTCTGCTTTCAGGTTTGGCAGTACTGCCCGCCCAGTGGACTAGGGCGGGACCCGGGCCGCCTTGATTGCTCTGTCTCTGACGCACGTGCTCAGGGCCTCACTGGCACGGGAGCTCTATCTTCAAAATAAAGTTCAGATCTTCTGTGCTTTCTCTGGTTTCTCTGTTTGACCTTCTTGCCCTGGCCCTCTCTTACCCTCACGATGCATGAGCCTGCAGGGTTCGTCCCTGGCACCCACTCTCTCGTCCTGTTTGTAGCCAGCGTGGTTGATCCTCCATGTGTGTCCGGTGCTGCTTCTCTGACCAGTCACTTCCTTGTACCCAGGATACAGCGTGAGGCTGGTGGGTGGGGCCTTATGTCAGGCCCACCTGTTTTTAGGCTCCTGACAGCCTCTGTGATGTAGCCCCCTCCCCCTGTTCCCATCTTGCTTCTTGCTGCTGCTTTTTAAAAAATATATATATTTCATCGATTATACTATTAAAACTCCCAATTTTTACCTTTTGCTACCCATCCACTTGGTACCCCTTTCCCGCCAGCAATCCCCCCCCCCCTTAGATCATGCCCATGGGTCGTACATACAAGTTCTTCGGCTTCTCCATCTCATACACTATTCTTACTCTCCCCCTGTCTGTTTTGTACCTACCAATGGGTGCTTCCTAATCCCTGAACTTTTTCCCCATCCTCCCCACTCCTCCTCCCAGCTGATAGCCCTCGAAATGATCTCCATTTCTAAGATTCTGTTCCTGTTCTTGTTATTTGCCTAGATTTCTCTTTAGATTCAGTTGTGTATAGTTGTGTATTTGTCTCCATTTTAATGTTCATAGGTTTGATCTTTTTCTTACATAGTTCCCTTTAACATGTCATATAATAAAGGCTTGGTAATGATGAACTCCTTTAGTTTTACCTTATCTGGGAAGCACTTTATCTGCCTTTCAATTTTAAATGATAGCTTTGCTGGATAGAGTAATCTAGGTTGTAGGCCTTGGTTTTCATCACTTAATACTTCTGGGCAGTCCCTTCTATCCTGCAAAGTATCTTTTGAGAAATCAGCTGACAGTCTTATTGGAACTCCTTTGTAGGTAACTCTGCTTTTCTCTTGCTGCTTTTAAGATGCTCTCTTTATTTTTAACCTTTGGCATTTTAATTATGATACATCTCGATGTGGTTCTCTTTGGGTCCAACTTGTTTGAGATTCTTCTCTGGCACCCCTGTGATTTGGATGTTGGTATGTTTGGAGATGCCCCAGAGGCTCCTTATTCTATCCTTGTTTTTTAAAAATTCTTTTTTTGGGGGGGGGTGGGCTGGGCTGGGAGTAAAAGGTAGAAAACTGTACTTGGACAACAATTAAAATAAAAAGATAAAATAAAAAATTCTTTTTCCTTCTTGCTGTTCTGATTGAATGCTTCTTTCTTCCTTATGTTCCAAATCATTGGTTTGATTCTTAGCTTCATCCCCTCCACTGTTAGTTCCTTGTAGATTTTTCTTTATTTCACCTAATGTAACTTTCATTTCCTTATGGGTCTTTTTTATGCTGTTGCACTACCTAATGAGTTTTTTGAGCATCCTGATAACCTGTGTTTTGTCCTCTGCATCTGATAGGTTGCTTATGTCCATTTCATTTAGTTGTTTTTCTGGAGTTTTGTCTTATTCTTTAATTTGGGCCATATTTCTTTGTCTCCTCAATTTGGCAGCCTCCCTGTGTTTGCTTCTGTGTATTAGGTGGAGCTGCTTTGGCTCCCTGTTTTAGTTGGCTCCCTATTGTAGAAAAGGCACCTGTTTGGATGAATGTGACTTTTTAAAGTCCTTGGTTGTCGGACTTCCATACAGCTCGATTTTCTGATGAATCCGGGTGATACTTGTTTTGTTGTGTAGTTATAATTTTTGCTGTTGTGTGAGTTTTACGAGGAGGTGAAGTGTGTTTACCTACGTACCTTCATCTTGACCGGAAGTCCTGCTGCTTCTGAAGGAACGACCTAGTCCTGCCTCAAGGTCTGCAGTGGCCTCTGGGGGAGCAAACAGCTCTAGGAAAGGAACTGCCCTGCTCTGTCCTTCATGGGTTTGAGGTGGGAGGAGGGGTGCGCTGAGGTGAGCTCTGTGAGGTAATGCCGCCGGGCTTCACAGCGCCCTGTGGCAGGTCGGGAGGTGGACCAGCACAGCACTTGGGGAAAGAAGCCTCTGAAGACCGGAGGTGTGCTGCCTGCCCTGGGGGGGGCGGGGGGGCAGCTCTCTGCCCAGGACACGCCTCCTGTGGCTGCAGCCGCTGCTCTCACACTCTCAGCGGTGTTTCCTCTGGGGCCCGTGGGTTGGGGGGCCCCTTCCCCTGGCCTCAGTCCACCCGTCTGTAAATGGGGTGGATGGAGGTGGTGGTGGGCAAGAGTAGCTGGAAGCCCTGCCCCACCTGCTCTGTCTGGGCAGCAGGCCCTGATGTGTGGGGGGAGTCTGAGGCCAACCCTTTTGCTGGGAGATTGTGGGAGTCCAGATGCTTTCAGGGGCTGTGACCTGCCAGCAGCAGCAGTGGAAATATCCATGTGGCAAGGGTCAATGGTAAGGAAGTATTTCAGTATTTTACAACTAGTGTGATGGTACTGGTATGTACTAGCTGAATATCATTTTTATTGACATTTAAAAATTTTTTAAACTTGTGTTAATTCCATAAAACTCAAGTGCTTTTAGCCCTGACTGGTGTGGCTCAGTGCATTGAGCGCTGGCCTGCAGACCCAAAGATCACCAGTTCCTTTCCCGGTCAGGGCACGGGCCTGGGTTGCAGACCAGGTCCCTGGGTGGGGCCTGTGAGAGGCAACCAGTCGATGTTTCTCTCTCACATTGATGTTTCTCTCCCTCTCTCCCTCCTTTCCTGTCTGTCTAAAATAAATAAATAAAATCTTTTAAAAACCTCCAGTGTTTTATAATTGTTATTTATTTATGCAACAAGCATGTATTGAGCACCCACTCTCCATGAAATCTCCTGCTAGACACACTAATGAATCAAGTGTTTTCTCTCTTACAGCATTTGCAGTTTAATGGGTACTAATAAAAATTCGTAAGATGCTGAGGTTTTGTGCTCTAGGAATTCAGGGGAAAGGGAACTCCCCTCCATCATGGGGCGGGGAGAAGACCCAGGGCTGGGCTCCGGTGGAGGGGGCCCGGCCCGCAGGGAAGAGCGTGCTCACTGGCACTGCTGAGGAGGGCAAGGCTCCAGGGCCAAAGGTTGTCTCTGGCTGGACCTGGTTTTGAACCAGGGGAGCAAGTGGTGAGTGATAAGGGTGGTAGGCAGGTGGGGCGCCGAGTCCAGAGGGTCTTTAACTCAACGAAGAAGTTCGGACTTCATGTGACAGGTGATTAGAGACTGGTGGCGGGTCACAGAAGGAGAAGGAACCTGCGGTGGTGTTTCGGTGGGATGGGTCTGCTGGGGGCTGGAGACGGGGTGGCAGGGAGGGTGGCCAGGCGGTCACGGCCACTGGAGCCGTCTGGGAGGAGACGTGGATGTGGATCGTGAGAGAAGGGTGCAGGGAGACTCCAGTGGCGATGTGGGGAGTGAACAGGGTGGGTGTTAACATCCCCATTTTACAGACAAAGCGGCTGAGGCCTTCATGTAGCTAATGAGTTGTTCAGGATTTCATACTTAGGTGGCAGAGCCAAAGGTTCCAACATAAAATGTGGGTAACTTCTTTACTAATTTATTTTATTGGAAAAAAAATAGCCATAAAACATTAAATTAATTTGCCATAACAAAGTATAACAAATGGATGGCTTAAAACAACAGCAGTTTTTTTCTCACAGTGCCAGATGCCCGAAGTCTGACATCGAGGTGTCAGCAGCTTCGGCTCTTTCCGGAGCCCCAGGAGGAGGGTCTGTGCCAGCCTCTCTCCTGGCCTCCGGCCACACCGGCAGCCCTGTTGTGCCTTCATCCTCCCGTGGCCTTCTTCCCCGTGTGCGCACGTGACCGTCAGCGAAGGACAGCAGCCCCTGGGTCAGGGCCCACCCTAATCCAACGTGACCTCACTTTCACCTGGCTAATTACCTCTGCCAAGACCCCATTGCCCAGTCAGTTCCCGTTCTGAAGTTCCAGGTGGACGGGAATTTTGGGCAGGACACTGTTCGATGCAGCAAACGGTGTGTGTTCCTCTCCGCCTCCTATGTGCATTTGCTTACACCCACATCACAGCCGTAAGTGTTAAATGTGTCAAATGAAGCTGAAGAGTCTGGAGGCTGAGCCAGAGACGAGTGACCGAGATTCCTTTCAGAGCCTTAGTGTTTGCAAACAGAAACACAGCGTGTGAAGGAGAGAAGAGAGGAGAGTTCTTACAGTAAAAGGCACCTTCCGAGAATTACTCGTCCTGCATTCTGAGCCCTAGGATTGGTTCCGGATGGTTATCAGTCATGATGACCGACGACGCCAGGTGGTCCGGAAGGTGGACACCAGGAGGTGTGGTCACGCTCCGTGGTCTGGCTGATGGTCGTCAGGGGTTGTACGTGTGAGACCTTCAGGAGAGGGCTAGAAGCTTACCTGCAGGCAAACAGCTTTGTAATATCGTAATATAGACTATATTAAACAACTTTGGGAAATGACATCTGTGTATGATTTTTCTAACG